TACAACACTTCATTACAGACTAAAATACTTCATTACAGACTGAAACACTCGCCTGGAACACATTGCAAGCCTCTCATTTTAAATTCCCAATTGGAAATCGTCCCACAAACAAGATGTCGCCGCGATGGGACAACTTCAACTTCTCTCTCCTTGACGAAGACCACATTTGTGTTTCCTATTTTAGTTGGGCTGAGTTCCTCCAGTATATATCAAGACGTTCCAGGCAGACGAGAGAGAGAGAGAGAGAGAGAGAGAGAGAGAGAGAGAGAGAGAGAGAGAGAGAGAGAGAGAGAGAGAGAGCACTTCCAAGCGGGGTGTCGTGTCGTTCTTCAGCATGTCTGTTAGTTGGCTGGTGGGCGGCGCCAGTGTCTCGTAATTACCACCAGTCACAGTGTTGATTATTCCAGGGCTCGCTTCTGCCTGGAAGTTGGCCAAAATATATTGGTGCATGTTGAAATCGTCATCGTCTTCCTATTCCTCGTCCATTCTCCTCCCTGTCTTCCTCCCCCTCCCTCGTCTTCCTCCACCTTCTCCCCGTCTTTCTCCCCCTCCTCCCGTGTTTCTCCTCCTCCCCCGTCTTCCTCCTCCTCCCCCCTCCCCGTCGACCTATTCTCCTCCCATCTTTTTCTCCTTCGCCTCCCGTCTTCCTTCCTTTCCCCTGTATTCCTCCCCCTCCTCTCGTCTTCCTCTCCTCCTCCCGTCTTCCTCTTTCTCCCTCCCTCCTTTCCTCCCCCCTGTCTGCATGATGATAGTCTTGAGAATATTGTGTCTGTATGATGATGTATCGCGTCTGCATGATACCAGTTTATGAATATTTTGTCCGTATGATCAGGCAATGTATGATAGTCAATGGTGAATATCGTCTCTGTGTACTGCTGCCTTGTGTCTGCATTATGCCAGTCTTATGAATATTTCTGTCTATATGATAATTTCCGTCTGTATGTTGATACTTTCTGTCTGTATGATGATAATTTCTGTCTGTATGATGATGATTTATGTCTGTATGATGATAATTTATGTCTGCATGATATTCGTTAATGTGAATCAGCGTCTTGGTTCAGGTCTCGGTGAGTGTTGTAGTCAGAGGCAAGAGGAGGAGGAGGAGGAGGAGACACGAGTAATGAAGGGCGTCTAGTCCAGGTCAGGTCTTGTAGCGCTACACTGATGTAAACACACTACACTGTCCTGATTCTTGGTTTACGGCCTGCATACCTAATGAGGGAGAGGGTAATGATGGCAGAGAGAGAGAGAGAGAGAGAGAGAGAGAGAGAGAGAGAGAGAGAGAGAGCAGTCTCATCTGTTCATAGTGTATTAAAAAAGTTTCCAGAGAACCGCCATAAGTTACTTCTCCTTACTTGGTTTAAGTCCCTTCCTCTCTCCCCACGCATACGCCCCCACAAACACGTACGTAACCTCCATCCCCCCCCCCACCAACCTACCCCCACAAACACAACACCCCCTTCCCCACCCACCCACACTTACGCAACACCCACTTTCCCACCCACCAATATATGCGCTGCTCTTTCATCGCCTCTCCCTTCCCCCAAATTCACGCACATGTCATGCCCTCCCACCCACGGGTCAAGGTCGCACCAGTGGTCAATAACAGCCGGGACAGTTCCCCTCCTCGCCCTCTCTGCCACTATCGATGAGCGGAATTCCTCTCGGTGGAAATTGATCTGATAGTGGTTGTTGTTGTTGCTGTTGTTGTTGAGGAAGTCGATATCCGGTTTCCTTCCTTCCTTGTTATGATACCCTAACGGCCTAACCTAACCTAACCTCAACTAAGCTAACCTCACTTAATTTAACCTAATCTCACCTCTCCTCACCTAGCTTAAACTTATTATGTATCTAAACTTTAAGGACCTTTCTTCTCTTTCTTTTTTCATTTTTCTAAGTAGCGATATTGCGAACGACTCTTAATTGTGTATTTTTAACCGTGAAACGACTTGAAGGACACGGATTCTCAAACAGTCAAATGTTAGTCGGGAATAATTATAGCAGTCGGTGGAATGTTATAATTTTAGTAAGGTGGGGTTAGGTTAGGTTAGGTTAAGTTAGGTTAGGTTAGGTTAAGTTAGGTTAGGTTAGGTTAGATCATCATTCTTTGAGATATAATAAAACAAATAAAAAAAGACCAAGAAAAAGTGATGAGATAAAAAGTAAAAGAAAATGGTGTAAGGGAAAAACACTTAGATTCTCAAAGCTCCGGACATTGGATTTTTATTTTAGCTAACTAGAGATCAGAGAACGTACCTAACTGGCTCACTTAAGCTGCCACGTAAACAGGGTTGAGGCGCTTAAGAGAAAGGTCGGCGGGCGTTTATATCCTGTGTCGCATTATACTAAAGACAAAAACAGATGTTAAAAGGTAAAACAATTCTAAAGTGACAATAAATAGCGGTCAGGTGACTTAGTGTATATGGTAAAATGGATCACTTGAAGATTAGGAACTCCATTTTATTTCACTTGATTAAATACCCATGTGATAACCTAACCTCACCTAATTTAATCTAACATCACCTAATCTGACCTAACCTAACACTAATTCAAACGTAACCTAACCTAACCTCACCACCCAGATAGTGTTAGGGGTCACAAATGAAGGGGATGACTCAGATTATGTGATCCATCCTCGACCCGCCATGTTTTGTGACAACTTATGTGCACAATGTTTTTACTGGATAATTAACATGATTGTCATTAGCAATAATTAAGACGAGAACCATCATATGTGACAACCTGAGTGAGTGATTCTTTCGACTAATTAATATTACCATTATTAGCAAGAGTGATCAAATGCCCGGGATAGTCTTAAGGAGAGAGAGAGAGAGAGAGAAAGAGAGAGAGAGAGAGAGAGAGAGAGAGAGAGAGAAAGAGAGAAAGAGAGAGAGCTTCTTCAATCAAAGTCAGGTAGGTAACTGACACATAGTCGCCACAATGAGTTTCGTTTTACACTAACCTAACCTAACAGAGGTGGACGCTGTATAAATTATAAATTATATATACACGGTTAAACAAGTTACATCCTCGCTTAACTTGATGGTGTTAACGGATGAAATGTACCATCAATTATTAAAAGTATATAATATCAACATCCTCACTCAATGTTCTGTCTTCATGATGAATAAGAGAACAATATTGTCACTTGCCTATCAGCTGTGTGAGAACTTGT